AAACAATCCATCAAAGCCATGCAAAACCACCATTCACACACACTTCACACAAACAACACCCATTGCCGTGCATCCCCTTGCATTTTTAGCATTCCACTTCATCATTACACCACATTCTCCCTCTTTAATCCACATGCATTCATCATCATTCACCCTAGCTGCCACTCACATGCATTCACACACACTTCACACAAACAACAATCACTTCCCTTCATTGTCGTGCATCACATATCAATTCTAGCTTCCCATTCCATCATTGCACCACATTCTCTTCCACTTTCCAACCATTCCATTTCATTATTACAGCCAGAATTCACTCTTTAATCCATATGCATTCATCATCATTCACTCTAGTTTTAATTCACATGCAAACACATGCATTTCCAGCACCAAACTTCCCTTCATTGCTGTGCAAAACAGCACCCATTTTCAGATTTCCACCAACCAACCTAGCTGCCATTCCACATGCATTCCCTCCTTAATCATTGCAGCCACATTCTCTCACATTCTCACCCATTCTCTCCCTATAAAACCATGCAATCCCATCACACAATTGATTCAATTCCACACCTCCATTCATACACAACACAACACAAAACACATCCTGAAATCCCTTGGTGCCGTGCATCCCCACTCCATTTCTATCATTCTTCTCTTCTATTTCCACCACTCCCCAACCCTCCAAAACACTATCCAACCATTCCTCCATACAAACACCAATCCAAAACCTATCCTTAGACCTTGTGCCGCAACAAAGAGGAGGAGAAGAGTGCCTAAATGTTCATACAATTCAAGTTTGAGTTGTTGGAATTTTTAGGTGTTGCTTTTCCTCGATTTCAATGTTTAATTTCAATTCTCTTTGTCTTGTACGTATGAGGAACTAAACCCCCCCTTGGCTAGGGGGGATTCGAAATACATGTTTATGCTTGCAATATGATTTGATTACTTCCAATTGCGTTTCATAAGTTGTGGATTCAATTTGTTTAACTATTTGATTGATAACCTATTTATGTATGTTTATTGAGAGTGCACACTTAATTTTCATGCATGAATATGACGCTAGAATATAAGTGAGTTTCATCTAATAGTTATGAACTTATATTCACAAGTAGTGGAGGTTGCTTATAAACAATCGCGTTAAGTAAATTCTTGGCATAAGTTTCATGCAATCATAGTAACAAGTGCTTCGTCAATGCTTATGGTTTTCATAGAACTTAACGATTCTTGCTTGTATCCCTATTATGCAATCATGTAGGGGACTTGTGGGGAATGTTTTGGGTTGTCGTATGCAATCATCCAATTCAATAATGTTAGGAAAACCTGAGGGTTAATTAGTGCAATTCACGGTTAATCTGGGGCGTTGAGAATTCATGGTTTATTGAAAAGTAATTAGAAATCGTTTTGTGTGCAAGTATAACATGTGTGGAGATGAACCCCTTAGCTAGCCTCCCATCCATTCAATTCCATCAAATTCGTATTTAAAATTTGTTTTCTTTACAATCTGTTCATTTTAGTTTAATTTCGTCAAAACCTCAATCCCCCCATATTTTGTTTAGTCTTAGTCATTACAATCTATCTTATTTTGAGTTTTTCATTCTTTGAGTCTAGTATAGTGTTTTAAACTTGTTTTTACGTTTTTGAGTCAAATCCAAGTGATTAACAATCCCTCCTAATCCCCGGTCCAGAACGATCCCTACTTACGTACTTACTACAATTGATAAAAAAAGGGTTTAATTTGTGTGCGTATAAGTCTCGCATCAAGCTGTGACATCACATCCCTCATTTCTCCTTCTCATTAATTAAAACCTTATTTCTTTTTTATTTTTGATCAAGTTCTTTAACTTTTCTTCATGTCATTATTTAAATATTAAATTATTTAGAAGTCATTATAAGTTAGTTTAAAAATGAAAAATTATTAATCATTTTCAAATAAATAAAACTAATGAAAAGTCCAAAAAAACTTTAGTTTTAATGAAAAAATGACAAATAAAGGTGTAGTGAATAGTACCAGAGAAAGGTAAAAATGTGGTTTTTCGTTAAAAGTGAACAGTACTGGAAGTGTTTCGTTAAAACTCCCTTTCAAATATAATATTTTTAGTATTTTTTTTTTCATATATTTCTATTTATAATTTGTATCCTTTTTTTTATTTTTTTTTATTTTTATTTTTTTTAATTTATACCAATATTGTTTTTAAGTTTTAATTTGTACCCATAATTTTGAATTTTAATATGTACCCACATTTTCAATTTAATTTGTACCCATGGTTTGGAATTTTAATATGTACCCATATTTTTAAAGGAAAACTAATAAAAATGGCTTGAAAAGTTTGAGTTTTAATCAAAATGACGAAAAGGTATTGTAAGTGAATAGTACCAGAAGTGACATTTTAAAGTAAATTTGTCATTTTTCGTTAAAATGAACAGTACTAGGAGTGTTTCGTTAAAACTAACTATTTTTAATTTAATTCGTACCAATATTTTTTTTTTATGAACGTACCCATGCTAATTATATTTGTTTATTTTATGTTTTAAAATATATCAATGTTATTTCTTGTACTATATTAATAATTACATGGGTACATGTTTTTTTTTGCTAGAACTATGTGAAGAACAAATTACTCTATTATTGATTTTTAAGTAATTGTTATATTTGTGACTATTATTTGGATTTGTTTAAATTTCATAATTTGTGGGATATTGAATGCATAAATGTATGAGTTAAATCCCCTAAATGATGCTAGAGACCTTGATCAAACTATTTAAACAAATAAGGTTTCATTCTAACAACTAGGTTGATTAGGGATTGGAACCAAAATGACCCTTTAATTTAAGACATCTCAATCTATTTTGTTGAATCTTTTATATGCATATTTGATAGCTTTTGTAAAAGAATTAATTTAAATTGTTAGGAATCATAACATGGATGCATATTAGTGCAATCATCGTAGGAATGATCTCGCACTTGCTTTCTATACTATGTCTTTGATCTTGTGTACTTGTGTGTTTAAAAATTGTAATTAGTAGCTTAATATATAGGTCGCTAATTGCATAACAACGTCCCCCAAGTAGTGTCCCTTCAACTTCTCACCTTCCTATGTTGACACCACCCAACTTCTTGTCTGTTAGTTTCAGACTGGTACCATATCTCTTACCAAGTTTTTCCAAGTCCCTTTTCCCTGCGCTTCCATCCGTCATGCAGTTCCCCCAGGTTTAGTTAAAAAAGAACTTCTCCAATGCTTATTGATTCTCCCTCATTGAAGGCCGTGTTGCCCAAGAACCCTAATTTTTTTCAAGCACGTTAATCAACGCTGAAGTAATGATCCAATCATTAACAACCATATCATATTGATTTGCAAATTTGGTTTAAAAAATTTGGTCTCCCTAACCAAATGATGTGTCACTAATAGGAAATAAGCACGTTAATCAACGTTTAAGTAATGATCCAATCATCAACAACCATATCATTTGGTTTGCGAATTTGATTTCCCTAGCATTAATATTAACAAGTCAATTTCTGGTTGGGTCATATACCCGTTTATTTTAACGGGTCTTACATTGACACAACCCGTTAAAATATCAAGTATGACATGAAAACGATACGAACACAGAAAACACGACACGAATATCAGGTCTAGTTATTTCTCATCTTATAGTTAAGGAGAAACTCGGGTGAATATGTGAGTTGTAATTCAAGGTCGGTCCAGTTAATTAGCTTTACAAGTTAATATCCAAGGCTATTATAAGCCTATTCCTCAGCTTTAGTTTAGCCAATTGCTATAGAGAAAGGTGCCAAGGATAAACATAGATACATTCGTCATGTACATTGCCAACAAAAAGTTCCCATTTTTGGTTTTTGCATCAACTGTTTTCACTAGGACATAGGATAATACTGTTTTATATCTTGATAAACTGTGGGTTTTATTTATTTTATTTATTTTATTTATTTTTAAATTTGGCCACAAAGTCCATCTCACTCCAGCATTGCTATCATGGGAAGAGACTTTGAGGAGAATTTATTGATAAACAAGAAAAATACAATATGTCAGGGGGGACATGAGGCTTAGAAAGGTTCTGAGAATAAGCAGCTGCAGCACAAGGAGGGCATGAATCCCACCAATGGACACTGGGGTGATCAACACCATAATTGGCTAAACAATCAGCAACTTGATTACCCTCTCTAAAAGTATGAGAAATCTGAATTTGCATGGAGAATAGTAAAACTTGACAATTATGCCAACTGACCAAAAGCCTCGATGGGATAGATGTCAAGGAAGGTGAGGTTGAAGAAAGAAGATGAACAACCAGTGGGGAGTCACATTCAATCCATAAGGAATGCCAACCTTTATCCCAAGCTAAAGATACAACATCAATAACGGCATGAAAAACTGTGGTTTTACTACCAAATAATACAGTTTATGTTACCACCCAAATTAGTCAATGAGTTAGTCCATGGTGTAAATGCAAAAATAATAGATGTGGAAGCTCGTGGGGTTTTTTTTTTGTTATTAAGAAGTTATTGTGTAGAAAGTAAGTTTACTTTGATTGCAATAAAATAAATACTGCCAAGTTGTATCTATTTGGACTATTGGAAGGGTAATGCTAGGGAAACCAAAATTTTAAACCAAATTTGCAAACCAAATGATGTGTCACTAATAGGAAATAAGAACGTTAATCAATGCTTAAATAATGATCCAATCATCAACAACAACATCATCATTTGGTTTGCAAATTTGGTTTAAAAAGGAAGACCAAATTTTTTAAACCAAATTTGCAAACCAAATGATATGGTTGTTGATGATTGGATCATTACTTTAGCGTTGATTAATGTGCTTATTTCCTATTAGTAACACATCATTTGATTTGCAAATTTGATTTAAAATTTTGATTTCGCTAGCATTACCCTTTGAATATCCCAAATAGATACAACTTGGTAGTTAAATCCAAAGTCAACTCCACAAACCAAACTCATTTAATTTATTTTATTGCAATCAAAGTAAACTTACTTTCTACACAACAACTTCTTAAAAACAAAAGAAACCCCACGAGCTTCTACATCTATTATTTTTGCATTTACTTTCCACTCAACTGTTAAACTTTCCCCTCACCCTCGATTTCTCCAATACCACTCTGAGTCTCCTTCCTCGATCTCTCCGACACCACTCCAAGCCAGCCACCATCACCATCGTCCTCACCATCTCCCCTTACCCTCGATCTCTCCGACACCACTTCGAGTCTCCTCCCTCGATCTCTCTGACACCATTCCAAGCTAGCCACCATCACCATCGTCCTCGATGTCTTGACCAACCAGTAGAGCATTGTGCGCATGAAAGATAGGACGACTACAGAGTCAGTTAAGGAATGCTAAGCGCGTCGGTACTGCCACCCACACCGTGTTTTCTCCCTGGTTCGCCTCCCCACCCTCGCTCCAACCACATTGCCACATGCGCTTTCATGGCCTATGCCGCAAATCGCAGCTCAGCTCATATAGCAGTCGTCAACGATGTTGTAAATCTCTATCTCTCTCTCCCTTCCCCCTCCCTCTCTGAATTTCTGAAACCGTCGCAGGTTGATTGAATTAAATTTCGTATTTACTAAATTTTCAATTTTTTGTTTTGGGTTTGCGAAGCATAATCAGTGGAATTTAGGGTTTTTGCATAAGCTTTTCGATTGATTTAGGAATTATGTGGGTTTTTGATTCAAGAATTTTGCAGGTTTTTGATTTTGTTTTGATTTATCAACTAATGTAATTTGTAATGGTGAAGGTGGATCTCTTGGATCCATGAGGAAGAGACGTCTTTGGTTCGATTTGTGCGTTAAGGTCAGTGAGAAATGCTTGAAGACGACGTCTCTGGTTCGATCCGTGTGGAAGACGGATGTCTCTGGTTCTCATAGAGATTCAATTTTATTTTATTTTTTGATGAATTCGAAATTGTGTTTGAAGATTTTGTATAGGAGGTGCTTGATGGAAGTGGCGGGGATCTATAGGGTTGTGAATGTTAGGGTTAGGGTTTTTCTCTCCAAAAGGATCACGAATAGGTTGTAGGTGTTGGATTTGGCGATGGTGGATACTGGGAATCTGGATACTGAAAATTAGGAAGAAAAAAAAAAAAGAAAAAAAGAAGAAGAAGAGTTTGTACTTGTTGGACTCGTAGGACCTAGCCCATTTTATACGGGTCGGGTTAGGTCTAGTTCTTAGTTTTAAAATAGTAAAATCCACCCCAGGTTACCCCTAGCAAGGAGGTGAAGAGAGGAAAAGACACCATATTCCTGATTCGCTAGAGAGACAATGAAAGTCTCTGAGACTACATTAAATGATTCCGCACAGAGTTTGTTGAGGTAGATAGAACCGACGACCGTATGGCTGCCACAACTTTCAAAAAAAGACTTCCCATTAAATTCGAGCTTAGCAGGAAGCTCCATAAGCCTAAGTAAGAATAGTCAACAATGTTCTTATAAGAACATTATACATCTTATTGGAGAAGACCTGTTTCATCTTTAATTCCTCAAGCATTATGCTCCAGTAGCAGTACAAAAAGAGTGAAACTATCAAAGGTTCTCAGACCTCGCACCAGTTCTCTAGTTAAGAAGAACAATAACTTGTTGATGCAAAACCATAATTGTCGACCTACGTGGTTTAAATGCTGTTACATTGTTAGAAGTCAATGCAAATGTTTCCAGGGGAAGGAAAATGAATCAAGTCAATGAGAAAGGCTAGTCATCCTAACGTTCGAAGAACAACAAGAGGAAAAACAAGCAGGTTTGAACCATGGGTCTTAATCTCACAAGCAGTCTAGGAATAACAATGATAAGGCTAATCGTCATGAACCAAAAAACAAACCGCGTTTATTTCTTCAACTACACGTTTACTAAATCCTTAGTGACAACAATCGGTGGCCCAACGCCATTAATAGAAGGGCATAGCAAAACCCAACTCGTGTTGCCCAATGGTAATTTGTTTACCATCAACAAAATCTTATATTCTCCTCCTTTTAGTTCAACATTGTTGAATTTTAAAGACATTCGAGCTAACAAATTCCATTATGAAACCATGGAAGAAAGTGGAGAGCTCTTTATAGCTGTTTTCATAGGACGACTTATGTTGCTTTTACCTAGCTAGCAAGCTTCACATGGTGTGGGCGACTGGATCACATATGTCATCTTTCCTAATAGATGACCATTTGATGTACGAAGTATGCGACACATCATACCCCTTGTGAGTGTCCATCAAAGTTGGAAAGTGCTCAAGTCAATTGGCTTTGGTGGAATGAATAGGTTTGCCTTGACCTAACTAGCAAGCTTCACATGGTGTGGGCGACTGGATCACACAAGTCATCTTTCCTAATAGATGACCATTTGATGCATGAAGTATGCGACACATCATACCCCTTGTGAGTGTTCATCAAGGTTGGAAAATGCTCAAGTCAATTGGCTTTGGTGGAATGAATAGGTTTGCCTTGATCGTTCTGATGGTCGTCTTATAGCGATAAGGTGAGAGTGATTTCACCTGGTAAGTTTTCGTGTTAGTTTTGTTCGACTTGGTAAACAAATATTATCAACCAAATAGAAATAGATTATTAACATCTTTCAAGTTGTTTGAATATTGCTACTTAATATTATGGTCTAATAGTATTATTTGATATTTCTTTTTACTCATAAGTAAAGGTGTTAGATTTGAATCTCTTGATAACTACTCAAACACCAATTTATTAATTCCTTGAGCCTTATTGTAAAAATGGGTTCAATTATATTGTTTTTTTTTCCTTAAGTGAAAGGGTGGGGACACTATTTGGGGACTGATTTCAGCGTTGATTAACGTGCTTATTTCCTACTAGTGACACATCTTTTGATTTGTAACTTTGGTTTAAAATTTTGGTTTCCACAACATTACCCATATGGATAATGCTAGGGAGACCAAATTTTTTAAACCAATTGATATGGTTGTTGATGATTTGATCATTACTTGAACGTTGATTAACATGCTTATTTTCTATTAGTGACACATTTGGTTTGCAAATTTTGTTTAAAATTTTGGTTTCCCTAACATTACCCATATGGATAATGCTAAGGAAACCAAATTTTTTAAACCAAATTTGCAAACCAAGGGGCAGTGGGTGGGCTTAGCCTTACAATAGGCTAGCAATAATGTGATTCAATTAGTTGTTTATTAAATATTATTTTCTCTATTTTTAAACACATTCAAAACATCTTAAGTGACGTGTAATGTCGGTTATAAAAAAGGTTTTTTGCACACGGATAATAATGTGATTAAATTAGTTGTCAAATGATTGTTTTCTTTTAACAAACGATATTATCTACACTAAGAGGGAGGCAAGGTGGGCTTAGCCTTATAATAGGCTAGCAATAATGTGATTCAATCAATTGTTTATTAAATACTATTTGCTCTATTCTTAATGTAAATTCTATAGAGGCCGATCTAATTATGTGAATTCAGCTGCTTTAATTGGTTTATGAGGGGTTTCTTCTAGCATGATCTAAGATTATTCACTTACTTCAAATATTTAACTTTCCTTTGGTCAATGTATGCATATATATACATTGAAAATGTGTAAGTCGAGCGTAGCACACCGTAATTCAAAAATGCCTTCGTCATTTCAATTTTTTTTTTGTGTTGTTTTTATTTTATTTTTTTTATTTTTTTATTTTTTTTTTAATTACTACCTCACAATATATAGGCTAGTAACAATGTGATTCATTTTTCTATTTTAAAACATGTTCAAAACATCTTAAGAGGCGTGTAATGCCGATTATAAAATAGGTTTTTCGCACACGAATAATAGTGTGATTAAATTAGTTGTCGAATGATTTTTTTTTGTATCTTTTTATTTTTAATAAACAATATTATTTACACTTAGGGAGGAGATGGAAATCCGACAGAGAGCCAGAGAGAGTGTGAGCTGAGAGACTCGGGGGAAGTAAGAGAGAGATTGGAGTGAGTTAGTGGGTTGCCACATGGCACGCAGTGAGTGGAGAGAAAATATGAGGAAATCCCCAAAAGCAAGTCGGATTGGGTTAGGGATAGGGGACCAAAATGTAAATGTCAATAAAACTTTAGGGAAATTGTGAAATTTACAATAATTTGGGGATGGGGTTTAACATTAGGACTTGTACATGAAGTTTGGTTACAGTACATCAGAGTATGAGATATTCAATCCAATTTAAAGAGTTGAACTTAATATTTAATGTATCAGAATATGTCATAATTTAGTGTACGGTAAAAATATTATCAAAACATGATCCAAAAAAGTGCCTCTAAATTTCACCTGATCCAATGAAATTCTCAATTAAAAAAAAAAATTCCAAAAACAGTTAAGATGGATAAGTCACTACAATAACCAAAAAAAAAGGGAAGGAAATAAAAATAGAATGGTACACCAATGCATCGGTTACATTTCATGATCAACCACAATTAGAATTTGAGGGTTTAAAACTACACATAGCCTTGATATAGTTTTATTGTTGAAGCATGCAAGACTTATAATGCATATTGTGAGCAAATGACAATGGCAAAATGGTTGGAAGATAAGCCAACAAGGATTGGTTAAGTTGGTAAAGATCGCTTTCTTCACTAAACTAAGGCCTATGTAGGTTCAAGTTTTGCTGTCGGCAATACCTCTTGGTGGGCGATCTATTAAAACAAAAAAAATGGCTAAGACCTCTTCTGTAAGTTCTCAAAGTTCATTTCATCATAACGTTTTCATACGGCAACGAAATCGCGCAAGGTCAGAGCCTATAGATTCGTATTAGAACCCTCTTCCATCTGATATGATACCCACACCTCAAAATCAACTATGTTCAAAGATTGGAGCCTAGAACGGTGACTCTTTTTTGGCGAAGTTTTTCTAATTCCGTGTCGTGTAACAGGTCATGTCGTGTAAGACCCGTTAAAATAAACGACTATATGACCCGACCAGAAATTGACTTGTTAATATTAATGCTAAGGAAACTAAAATTTTAAACCAAGTGATATGATTATTGATGATTGGATCATTACCTCAGTGTTGATTAATGTTCTTATTTCTTATTGATGACACATTATTTGGTTTAAAATTTTGATTTCCCTAGAATTACCTGATGATTGGATCATTACTGCAGCGTTGATTAACGTGCTTATTTCTTATTAGTGACACATCATTTGGTTTGCAAATTTTGTTTAAAATTTTGGTTTCCCAAGCATTACCCATATGGATAATGCTAGAGAGACCAAATTTTTTAAACCAAATGCTATTGTTGTTGATGATTGGATCATTATTTTAGCGTTGATTAACGTGTTTGTTTCCTATTGGTGACATATCATTTGGTTTAAAATTTTGGTTTCCCTAGCATTTCCTTTCAATATCCCAAATAGATACAACTTGTTAGTTAAATCCAAAGTCAACTCCCCAAACCAAACTCATTTAATTTTTTTTATTGCAATCAAATTAAACCTACTTTCTCCACATTAACTTCTTAATAACAAAAGAAACCCCACGAGCTTCTACATCTATTATTTTCGCATTTACACCATGAACTAACTCATTGACTGATTTGGGTGGTAACATAAACTGTATTATTTGTTAGTAAAACTACAGTGTTTCAAGATATAAAATAGTATTGTCCTATGTCCTAGTGATAACAGCCGATGGAAAAGCAGAAAATGGTAACTTTTTGTTGGCAATGTACATGACGAATGTATCTATTTTTATCCTTGTCATCTTTCTCTGTAGCAATTGGGTAAAATAAAGTTGAGGAATAGGCTTATATTAGCCTTGGATATTAACTAGTAAACCTAACTGGACTGACCTTGAATTCCAACTCACATGTTCACCTGAGTTTCTCCTCTATAAGATGAGAAATAACTAGACTTGACATTCGTGTGGTGTTTTGTGTGTTCGTTTTGTTTTCGTGTCATACTCAATATTTTAACAGGTCCTGTCGTGTAAGACCTGTTAAAATAAATGGGTATATGACCTGACCAGAAATTGACTTGTTATATTATTAATGCTAGGGAAACTAAAATTTTAAACCAAATGATATGGTTATTGATGATTGGAGCATTACCTCAGTGTTGATTAACGTGCTTATTTCTTATTGGTGACACATTATTTGGTTTAAAATTTTGATTTCCCTAGAATTACCTGATGATTGGATCATTACTTCAGCGTTTAACGTGCTTATTTCTTATTAGTGACACATCATTTGATTTGTAAATTTTGTTTAAAATTTTGGTTTCCCTAGCATTTCCCTCTCAATATCCCAAATAGATACAACTTGTTAGTTAAATACAAAGTCAACTCCCCAAACCAAACTCATTTAATTTATTTTATTGCAATCAAAGTAAACTTACTTTCTCTGCATTAACTTCTTAATAACAAAAGAAACCCCCCGAGCTTCTATATCTATTATTTTCGCATTTACTCCATAAACTAACTCATTGATTGATTTGGGTGGTAACATAAACTGTATTATTTGGTAGTAAAACTACAGTTTTTCAAGATATAAAACAGTATTGTCCTATGTCCTAGTGATAATAGCTGATGTAAAAACAGAAAATGGTAACTTTTTGGTG